TTTTTCTTTTTTGAGAAACATAACATTTTAATAGATGAAATAAATACTCCAGTACATGCAAGGTAAAAACTTGACGTTATGGGGGAAAAAATCACTCTATAGTGTAAATTAAAAATAAGACACACGCTCACTGTAGCTTCCCCCCATTTGCAAACCACATGGCAAAGTCATATTCTTTGTATACCTAATTTAAAAAAACAACAACAACATACAAAGGGTAGCTACATCTCTGTCTAAGGTATGAAAACCGAGGTAAACTTTCAATTAAAAAACCAAAACAACCCATGACCACCTTTCTGCCCAGTTAATTATCAGTTTAGTCAATGGATTGGGGTAGGATGAGGGGTAATTCGGAGACCATTATCCACAACCTTCCTCTGCCACTCAGGGTGGCTCAGGCCAGACACCACTGGTCCTGCCTTTCCAAAGATTCCTCTGGAACACTGAGCATAAGCATGGGAAGGGGTTCACCTGTGATTTCTTTGGTATACATGGAGAGGGGCAGAGAATAAGTGTCTTCCCTTAGCCGAGGGGTGAAATAAGAGGAGGGGTGCTAATTCACAGAATTGGAATTCACTGGTGGTAAAGTCCTGGGCAAAGACCTCTCTCTCCCTTAAAGCCTGAGATAGCAGGGTGCCGCCTTCAGACATGGTGCAGGCCGAGCTCCTCAGCCTCTCCCTGTGGTCCAGTGTCTTGGCACTAAGTCATCAGCAAGACTGAATACTTGAGACTTTGTGGGCTTCCTGGGCTGTGTTGTCTGTCAGAAATACTCAGCCTGGCTGCTGCTGATGGAAGCAGTCACATAGTGACTGCTAGAATCCCGGTGGAGCTAGAACCCAAAGCCAGGAAATCTGGCCCCAGAGCCTTTCTCCTAACCAGCGTACAACAAATTACAACCCACGAGCCAAATGTGTCCCATCACCTGTTTTTATTATACTCCTGATCTAAGACTAGTTTTTAAATTTTTAAATAGTTGATGAAAAAAATCAAAATCGTATTTCATGACCCATGAGAATTATATGAAATTCAAATTTCAACATGGATAAATGAAAGCACTACTGAGACACAGCTGGACACACGTGATGCCAGGAACCACCCCTGCTGCTTGGAGCTTTTGGGTTCTTCGGCACCCGTAACTCAACACTGTCCCGCCCTCTGCCTCTCTCTCAGCCGGCCCAATTCAGCTTTCTTTACCAAATCTACGTCTTCCTCCGGCTCCAGAAACAGGCCCAAGGTTACTGTATAAGGTGTAACTGTGGCAGTTGAGTGAGTAACACTAAGTGGTACATGTATGACATTTATATTAGATTCAATTTTCCATCACCCAGAAAATAGTGTCCAGGATGTTAAGCAAATACTTAGATGACTTACATGATGAGGTTAACATGCCTTCTATGCAGATTTCAAGAAATAGTAAGTTTGCAATTGAGTTGCTTCAGCAATTTTTTCAGATGATATTCCTGGAAATATGTGTCTGTAAAGTACAGTTTTTACTTAGTTTTCATTTCCCACAGAACCAGGAACAAAACAGGATGTGCTGCTTGTGGACCTAAAAGAATTGCCTTGAGGCAATGAAAGTCAAGCCTGAAATAGTCTTTTAAGAGAACATAAATAAAATAAAACCTGAATTGTTAATGCCAATCAATGCCCTTTCAATGATGGCAGAAAAAGAACTTTCAATATAATGCATTTTTGAGCTGAAGGTCTAGAAAATCACATGCAGCTTGAAAGTTTATTCTTTGTTATTTTTGGTGCAATTTGCTTGGAAGGAGGAAGTAAGCTGCTTCCTGAAACTGAATGAGCCCTTAGAGTTGATGCAGGCCACTGCGGACTCCAGGGCAGCGCATGATTTATAATTGAGTAGAACTGAATAGTGGAGAATGGGAATGTTTGTCTTTGGTTGCCCCAATACAAAGAGTCAAAAGTCCTTAAGTTACCGGGTTGCGATAAGTGTTTGATTGTGTTGAAAGCCAACAAGAATGCATCTCGGTTTGTCAGTTGTCAGGCAGTCACTGGGAGTGCTGAGCTGACATGTGCTGGGGGCATGCCGCCTCACTGAGGTCTGGGGTGCCTTCAGCAAGCTCAGGATGTACCTGGGAAGCTGCCCCATGAGTGGAGTTGGTGACTAACACTCAC